TAAGATCAGTGAATTATATGCTCTGGTACAACTCCACAGTTATATACGCGTAGTCGCGCCCATCTATTGGACGGAAAAAAGTGGTATCGAAGTGGAATTCGAAACATACGAGGAAAATATCTGAGCGATCGGATCGCAGGGAGAGAAATCTTCAATGCAGTATGCTATTTCAGGTGGATGTTTACGAGCCTAATGTTCTAGTGCGCTGTCACTCGTAAAGAACTGGCTTACTTTATGAAGGCAGGAGCTTACTTCTGTTGGAGAAGCCTTATGATCTGTGAGAGGAGCGCTTGCCTTCAGTGGGAGATGCTTAGGTTAAATAGGAGATATGCTTCCTTCGGCGTCTAAGGCTTTGTACAATGTGTGGGAGATGTTTACGCTTCTGTGTGAAGGAGTACTTGTAACCATATGTGTGAAGGAGGATGTTGAATCACGCTTCCGCGGGTGTAAGGGGTTTTCGACATGTGTGGGAGTGATGTCGATACACTCTCACGGACGATGTAGAGGATTTTACAGGCCACTAGTAAAAATAGTATTCATGGTACGGTTATGATTGTCCTAGCTCTAGTACTATAGCCCGCGTACAGTTGACGTAGGGGCCGTAGGGCTATAGAACATTCTATTACGAATGCTCGGGACCAACTTATTCACGGTTACTCGCGGCTATAAAACGTCTGTGGTAGGCAATTAATGCCTCTTATCCAAAGTGAATATATGTATTAAGTTATATCCGCTACTAAAATTTAACCTCTATTGTTGAAATGGTCTACTTGCGGTATTTCTTATGAATGAACATTATTTACGAACTTCAAACAGCCATTTTTGGTGGCGCTGCAGCAGCGCCAGTCAGCGGGAACTATATACATTTCCACACGTAGAGGGGTGGGCGGGTTGTGTTGGTTGTGGACAAAAACATTGTTGTTGTCAAGTAACAAATTTTAAAAGCAATCAAAAAAGATTGTAATATTAGTTTTGTCATCAAAGATGAACAAATTACTAATACTATTATTAATTTGTTGCTTGACAACAACGTTTTTGTCCACAACCAACATAACCCGCCCACTCCTCCACGTGCGGAAATACATAGTTCCCGCTGACTGGCTGGAGTAAGTTGATCCCGAGCATTCGTACGTTAAAAAAATTCCGCGTACATAAAACAAAGAAAAACAGATAAAAATACACATTCCTGATGATGTCATACTTTCACGTCCAGTTTCGACGGCACGAGATTGAAGCTTTCCACCAATTAAATTCTATAATTTTTTTTAGCCATTACAGTTTGCAATATATCTTTCATGTCCTGTCTCTGCTCTGTCAGCCTTGCCTTTTCTGTTCTGCTATCTTAATTCTCTCTCTCTCTCACATAGGTCGAGACTCGGACTTGCCCTCGCAGTAACACGAATGCAACACCAGCCCTTCCTTCCTTCACGCTGACTTACTCACAGTAGTTCTTACGCCGTGTGTATCCACCGTTCTCACTCCCGCGTCTCGCTCTTTCCGTCCCTCCCTCTCTCTCTCGCTCTCCGTCATTCTTCGTCTCTCTCGATCGCTCTCCGTCGTTCTTCGTTTCTCCTACTCTTGCTCCTGTTCTCGTCACTCTCTTTTTCTGTTTCGTTGCTGGCCCGTAGATTGATATAGTGAAGTACTGCTACCTTGCGTTGCGTCCGCAAAGGAACACCCAGGTTTTGGATTGGTCACTGGCTCCAAAATGTAATGCTGAATTAAAGTTTGATGTAGAAATTATGAAGAAGAAATCCAAACTTGTGTGTCAGATATTAAAGTTTATTCAGTGTTTGCCTAGACGTTATTCATTTATAAAGAAGTCTCTTCAAGACACAATCGACATGTTGTGTAATGCAACTCGTTTATTCCACCATACTCTCCAGCACCCCGAGTCCCCACGCATACTCGTGGCGCCACCTCTTGGTGCATATATCAACATCCATAACATTCAGTAGCCGTTCAACTATATCTAGCCTCTTTAAACTGAATAAACTTTAATATCTGCCACACAAGTTTGGATTTCTTCTTCATCATTTCTACATCGAACTTTAATTCAACGTTACATTCGTAATAGAACGTTCTATAGCCCTGCGGCATCTGTACGCGGGCTATAGTACTACTAGAGCTATGATTGTCCAGTCTTCGGCAATTGACGATTCACATTGCCATTGCCATTGCCATTGGCATTGGCAATCAAAGATCAAATCAAAATCATTGCGACTCAATTTGAGTCGCCTATAAACTTTTCAAGTACGTCAAGTAACGCATAAAGTTAAATAAACAATGTTCATTACAAATAAAGTTGCTAATGGTAATCCTTAAATGTTAACTTACGTATAGTCAAATTTTATTGTAGATCCAACATGCGGGAATAAGCAACGAAAACAAATAATACACTAATCCCGCTGATGTTTTCAAAGCGTACTATGTAAACAAGTGAACATTCACGTCAGTAACGGAGTAGATGGCGGTAAAGGCGGTCTGAATTTCAGAAAGTTTAGACCATGGCATAGAGTTGTATAAATATAATATATAATATATATATTATAACTCTATGGGTCTAACTCTATGGTTTAGACTTATTAGAGCAGAGCAAGAAATAATCATAGAAATAATATAGATAACCTAATTTCTATGGAAATAATATAGATAACCTTATATAGATTATAATTTATATAACCCTATAGGCTATATATAGATAATATAGATAGGTTATCTATATAATTTCTATGTTTAGACAGAATATAAATCACCATAAATATCATAAAAGGTGATTTATATGCTCTGGTTTAGAGCACTGAGCAGTCTATTTTGTTAGTTTCTATTTATTTTATTTATTACTTATAATTATTATTATATATTATTGTTTTGTCAAATTTCACTTGCACCTTTGCACCTCAGCATTGCACTTGTTATCACCACGTATCTTTGAACAAAGAAAGAGAGGGAGAGAAGGGAGAGAGAGAGAAAGGGGGGAGGAATGGAGATAGAGAACGGGAGAGGATAATAAGAGAGAAATGGACAGGGGAGTGAAGGAAAGGGAGAGGAGAGAGGGGGAATTGGAGACGAGAGAGAGAATGGAAGAGGGGAGGGAGAAATGGAGAGGGTGAGAGAGAAAGGGAGAGGGGGAGAGAGAGAAATGGAAAGGGGAAAGAGGGAGAAAAGGAAAGGGGAGAGAGAGAGAGGAGAGAATTGGAGACAAGAAAGATAGCGAGAGAGAAAGGGAGAGGAGATAGAAGATAGAGAAAGGGAGAGGGGAGAGAGATAAAGGAAAAAGGGAGAGAGAGGGAGGAGAGGAAGAGAGAGAGAGAGAGAGAAAAGGCAAAGAGAGACAGAAAGGGAGATGGAAGAAGGAAGAGAGAGAGATAGGAGAGCGAGAGACAGAAAGAAAGATGGGAGAGGGAAGAGAGAGAGGGGAGGGGAGAGAGAGAGAACGATGGTAAGTAGCAGATGCATGAAAAGTTAGCTGACAGGCTATAACAAAGATAAGTAATAGCCTTTATTCTATAGACAGATTTCTGTTCTACAGGGGTGTATCTGCATGTATAATCAAGAGTGGATAAAAAACAAATATTTTTACAAAAAATATAAAAAAAAGTATCATAAATATATAATTATAAATAATATTATATATACCATAAATATATGTGTGCGTGTGTGCGTGTGCGTGTGCGTGCGTGCGATACATAATTAATATAATAAAAATATGATGAGTAAACATAAATATTTGTTTCTATTCACTCTCAATGCAAGTGGTAATATGCAGATAATATCGATCATGGTTGTGTCCAGTCGTGCTATAGGTGATCACAAAGTTCCGCTACTCACCGTTGTCATTGTTTGATGCAATGTTATAAGAGCAATAGAAATAATGTGAATTTATAGGCAGGTTCTTTATTGTATTTCTCATGCCAGCATAACTAAAACAATGTAATCAAACTTGACACCGATTTATTTCTTAACAAAAATAGCATTTAATATGATACAGTAGATCTATATATTACATCTATAACACAAATAGAAATTTTAGTTGGTAGCTTACTAAATACATACAAATAAACTATCATGATTCATTGCAATTATATTCATATTTCAAAAGTGCCAGCATTTGTATTGGGTAGAAAACACTAAAAACTAACAAACAGACCCAAATGCCAAAAACCTCGGACATTCTCGTGTGGCAGTGATGAAAGAGTACTTCTCAGTTGTTGAAGAAACGACAAGATCTCATATCACGACATGCATGAAGTCACACAACTGAAACGAAACATAACATTCACTAACATTCTGTCCATCGCGAGAGAAAAACGGACACTGATAGCAAACAGCAAGCGGCTATATTGAACATTACAATACAGGCAAACATTGCATTATCTCAGTCGCCACACCCTTACCCTAACAACACCTATATAGTCTATCAAATTAGTCTGAATTGTTTCTCTTTTCAGTAAAACCTAGTCCCAGTACAAAGATTTTACTCTACAGATGCTCATGAAAAATTCTAAGCGAGTATAACGTAAGGGCGACAACATACCGTGCAGGTCATCATAAGGAACGAGGTTGTCCCGTTTGCCTCCGTCTGTAGCACGGAAAAGTGTGGCTGATTGTGGCAGACGCTGCTATGGGACTGCAGACCTTCGTCCAAGTTGCTTCGTACCATCCCCAGTGTGAGTGCATCCTCCTGTTTAGCACGTGCTAATGGTCACTTAGAGAGTAACAAATGCACAACCAAATACGTAGGGCAAGAGAGTTACATGGGCATACACAGACATGCAAAGGGCAAACACAAAGTACAGGTTATGTGGGGGAATCATTCGATATATATACATATATAAATGATTTTTCTGTGTATGGGGCAACTGGTCAATGTATATGATACTACAATATAACTAAACATTTCACCGTTCTCACATGTTAGCATGATAAGCAACAGTTGGCATTGAACATCGAATTACTCAACAGGACAATATACACGCAAATATAGGTTTTCTTCTTTAATTTGCACATGATATTTAACTACTGAGTTCTGTTCATTCTAGTTGGGACCTTTAGCACAAAAAATGTCTTTATGACACCTACCTGTGTATTAATGCGAAGTCCACAGCGACAGAATATCACAGATCTGTTGATCATGATAGGATACCTGGAAAGCAATTAATGAATCATAACAGAGTAAAAAAGATCTAGTAATATTTATTTATTTATGTATGTATATTGTATAGACATATGTGTGGTGTGTGTACCTCATCTATTTCTCTCTATATATTCTCTCTACATAATATCTATTCTCTCCTCTCTATTATGCTATCTCAACCTCTACCAATTAATTATACTTTACCGCTGGCAAAATGGGCATATTATATCATCTGTGTGCAGGCTTCTAACAGCATCACAGATCTGTGCTTCATCCAGTGACAACTGTGTCTCATATTCTCGCACCATAGCTGCCTCTGTTACAGACAAAGATGTCATAAAGTTGACAAAGTTGATATCCAGGTTATGGCAGTAAAACACGGCCACTCTCTGGTCATTCGGACCATCAGATCATCATTGGACTTCAACTTTAAGTGAAAATAACTGCAATATATTGTGCCTACATATATAGCAAACATTGCGATTTGCATTACGATGGAACATGTTGACCTGGCTACTCTCTTACGAAGGACAGTGCATGGTAATTATAACACATGATACCTTCCTCCATCAGGCTTGCCTTGATGTCCTCCATAACAGACAAACAGCTTTCTACGTGTTCACATCCATCTCGCAAAAACTGAAACAGATAGAAGGCTTAATTACTAGCACATTACTATCCAGATAGCCTGTAGCAGCTGAGCCTACATTGCCCCAACCTCTACATTGCAAGACAGGCTACTATTGCAGTCTGCATGAAAAACTTCCACCCTCATTGGCCCAGCGGGCCTGTAGAAATGTATAATTCACTGGCCCACACTACGTTTTACAGGCCCAAATCAATGATCATCATATTAATTATGAAAAGAGAAACGGAACCGGACCGGAAACCGGAAGTTGTTGCGACCTATAGCGGCGACAAATACGCATGGTGTTGACTAGTTACTTCCCCTACTTAAGATCAAGAATATGATGCCCTATCGTTAATATCGGTAAATTTTCATATAAAATATCGGGAATTTCGGTCAATTCTCAGACTGATCATCACATAAAAAAGCTGAAATATCATTAATAGACCATGCATTTACTCAATTTTTTCCCACTGGCCCATCGGTCTTGTTCATTTACCAGTTTCATTGGCCCCACAAAAAATTTACTTGCCTCGGATACCGGGCCAGTGGTTAATTTTGCAGACTGCTGTTGACCTAGACATTTTGTTCATGCTAAATCGTTGTTCAGTGTTACCGGTGGCCTCGTTTATGTAAAATTTACGTGGCACAACATACCTCTTCATCAAAGGAAGCTAGTTTCTCTTCTCTCATCTTCTTCCACTCTTCCTTTATCAGTAATGCTACTAACTCCTCCTCCTCTTCTTTTAATTGACAGTTGGATGGGCATTGCCGGAATCGCTCAATCACGCTCTCTCTCCGACTCTTCAGTTGTTCAAAGCACCTCTGCAAAATGATAGAAAGGGTATCAGCTATCTGTAACATTATAATATGCTTAATTATTATAATTAATTTATAATTGTTAATAATCGAGCCCAACTTCTGGCAGTTCTGCTAGTCGACGCGTGTACTGTAAATCTAAACGCAATACATTTATACAGATAAATCTTGACTGTCTGACATCCATGCAATATACTACACACTTCATCACTCGTATGCTCATAATGATGTACTTCTACCCCGAGGGCGACTGTAGAAATGTTTGCAATCTCTAGCCTTTCCTTTGACTTTGAGCTCAGGTAGATATTTTACATTCTATAATTTTATTTATTTACAATCTAGCGCACAAAGGGTCGTTGTCGTATCAGGTACTACATCATGTATGATGATGTACCCGAGGTAGTTTTAGGTTGTTTACTCAGTTTAGTATTAAAACTATCAATTATGTTTATATTTTTATACGAGGTATGTTTAGGGTTAGGGTTAGGGTACACTTCTGTAGTACAAGTCTGGTACACTTTGTGTATACATATATGTACCTCGGGTACATATATGTAGTACCTGATACTATCAGTGATAGTGATAGTGATACGACAACGAGTCGAACGACCCGACCCCTTCACTGGCTTCAGCATCACTGACAGTCACAATGTCAACATGAGCTTGCAAGCTTCTCGCCGTGTGTTCACGCCATTATAAGGGCTGCGTTAAGTGCGATTCAATATACCTTCCTAAAAGCTTCCTTCCAATTAGGAGTTCGGTTCTTGTACAGAGACGAATGATCGCGTTGTTTGTGCGGGTGCGGACGACTGCTTGGACTATGATGAATGCCTGCCATTCTCGTACATGTTCTTGCCGAGTTTGTAGCACTCGTCATTGCACTCGTGACCGCGGTGATTGTGTGCACGAGAAAATTTAACCACGGTATAATATATAACCGATTAATTTATATTATGTTATTTTCTAATTATTAGTATAATCAGATAATTTGGTTGAATATATTACACAAAAATTTGAAAAATAAACTTAAAGAAATAGGCTTTGCCTATAAGTATAGCACAGCGGTATGATATTTAAAACAGAATATACGCGGTTGCGTTTTTGCTCAGACACCGTCCACGATGGCTACCCTGCTGCGACAAACACCATTGACCTGCAGTGGCCATAGTCGGCCCGTGGTACACCTTCATTTCAGCCAGGTCACTCCGAACGGCTCCTTCCTCATAGCTGCATCGAAAGGTAGCATTTTGCAAACTTTCAGGGTTTGACTTTTTGTTTGAGGCGAGATATGTGGTCGCATACCGCAGATGTCATGCTCGTGATGCACCACCACTGCCACTGGGGCTCATACCCCATAGTCATAGTCATAGACATAGCCATAGGGTCTATGTCCCCCAGGGTACTGCCGGAACGTACCCTGGGTACGGTCCGGTATACCGGAACGTACCCTGGTAACTATCTGATATGGTTAGGGTTAGGGAGTATGCGTAGGCGTAGGCGTAGGCGACTCCCTAGACTCGTTAGTGGAGTAGGCGAGGTACACTACGGCCGGCATATTATAATATAAGATAATACCAAGGTACCCTCTGATAGTACCCTGGTGGACATAGACCCTCTCAGCACCACTGAGGCCTGGTCTATTTTCTAAACACGAATATATGCGATTATCGCTTGCCTCAACCACTGTTCTCTCCGCACAGGTTATATGCCATTATTTGTATATTTGTATATTTACTAATAAAGTGTACTGTCATTATGTCATAGAGTGATGATACTGATAGATGTACATGCCAATTAATGAATTATTAGTGTCTGTAAAAGCGTGTATGGACTGAGCATCATTTTGTAGATGGAAAGCCAATGTTGCGCCAGGGCGACACAGGCGACTGGGTCGGCACATTCGAGGGGCATCGAGGAGCAGTGTGGGGAGCTTGTCTAAACAGGGAGGCCACCGTGGCGGCAACCGGAGCAGCTGATTTCACCGCGTACGTACAGTTCACTGAGCACTGAAAAGCTGGCTTGGCAACAGCACGAATTATACAACCTTGCGCTAACGCGTAAATTCCAGCGGACTTTGTTTCAGTTGGGGCAGTGATGGTCTAGTCTAGTAGTTTGTTGTGGATACCACGCTTAAATGCGGGCTAAAAAGTGTGTGGTTTGAGTCCTGTGGTGTGACTGTTCGTTAAGGGTAAAAGTCACAATAATTTATAGGGCCTATATAATTTATATGACAGTTACTTCACTAAGCATTATAGTGAAATAAAACTGGTGCTTCAAAAGTGTATGGATACAATAGATATTTGCACCGTGTACAAATCAGGAACCAGGATGAACCAACTGGGAAATAGGGTCATTCACTGGGCAGAGTATCATAATCCTGTTTGTGTGTTTACGGGTCGGTATTTCTCTTGCAGCAAGCTGTGGGATGCCATATCTGGCCAGGAGAAGCACTCGTTCACGCACACACACATCGTGAAGACTGTGGACTTCTCGTACGACTCCAGCCGTCTGCTCACAGGCAGCATGGAGAAACTCGTGAAACTGTTCGACCTGGCAAAGCCAGAAGCTGGTAGTGTAACTTGCGCGTGCTGCACTCGTGCTTAAGTTGCTCATTTTTTCAGTTTTTCTTCTTTATCGGTCGGTCTGAAAAATATTGTGCCCCAAATCCGAGGACTTTTTCCAATCCATAGGGGGTGAGGGTTCCACCAAGATTTCCACTTTTCTGATATTGCAGGCCTTTTGAGTTTCACAAAGTTCGGACCCCGGACCGCGGTCAGTGGACCGGGGCCCAATCACAGGTATTGCCCGAGGGCCCACAAGGTGCCAGTCCGTCCCTGTCTGCAGTATAAAGTTGGGTTGGCAGAAAGCTGTGATAGTTTCATGGGGTCTGCGAGGTTTGCGTGATGAATGGGACAGGAGAAAGGGAATTGATTCTATCTTTATTAATGTTGAGTTATGTAGCTGTAAGGTTTGCTCGGTTGAGGAAAGGAGAAAGGAGATTTGTGCCAATCCTATATGAGGGAACATACACAATAGGATTTTCGCATTCGTAGCCATCTTTTTATGCACTATACTATACTGTAGTATAGAATATATGCTTGCTCTCAATATTCACTGCTAGGCCTTCTATAATAATTAGGGTACACACATGTAGAACACTGACAAGTGCCTATAAACTGGTGATTACTGCCAAACTCAAATGCCGACCCTAATAATTAATGTAAACAATGATGTAAACTAATACAAGTGGCAAATTTTTAAGGCATGGTTTTTGCCCCAGTGGCTGTGGCTCCCACTGATGCTCAGCTGTATGCTGGTTTATGCATGAGTATCTTCATTGATCATTGACCTGCCCCTCTATTTCAGATCCTCTGAAGTTTGAGGGTCATACCGGTAATCTGAAAGAGGTAGTGTTTCTCCAAGATGGTCGAAGGATTGTCAGCGCTGCAGAAGACAAAACCATCAGGTAACCACCCAGTAAAAAACAGCATCACACCCTTTACCAACATTGTACACTTTTTTGTGTCGTTCTTTCGATAATTTATGATTCAATAATGCATGGTTAATAATTTTTTATTTCCCATAATTTTGTTATAATTATTATTTTTTAATTATTATTTTTAAATAATGTATGGTTAATAATATTTTAATAATTTGCGTGGTAAAATTGTTAACCGCATAAAGAAATTAAACGAGATAATGTTTGCGGTAGGATGTGGGATGTCACGACGGGGACGGAAGTGAAGAAGTTGGACGTGCCATCGAATGTGACGGGCATGGAGCTGTCACAGGACGGGGAGATCCTGACGGTCACCTACAGTAACACCGTCGCCTTCTACAACGCTGACACGTAAGGACACAATTCAAAAAATATTTGTTTGCCCTCACCCGACCCATGCTGAAAAGTTTGGGTAGGTAGGTAGGCTTTTGTTTTAAGGTTGTTTTTTTTACAAATTCAGCATGGTGTCTACATGCTCGGGTGTGCTTGTGTGAAGATACCTTTTATGTTGAATATTTGTTTTGCTTGGTACATAATGTATTGCCTACAGATTTATATAATGTACAGTGATACAATTTGTAAAAAAAAAATGGGAAAGATCAATAAACAATTTTGAGTCGGCCCCTTTTTGGCGGGTCGGTTGGGTGAGGGCAAACAAAAAATATTTTTATTATGGCCCTGTCAACACAGAACGCCCTGCACTCCCGATTCGAACACCCGCAGAGGATCATCTTACCGAGTAGTGCGACTTTTTGCAAAGACATCGATCCTGACTGTATCAGAGAGCATGTATCTGTACCCCGCGTTCGGTAGCGACATTCGGTGGTTCGGTTGTTTTTGTTTGTTTCAATTCTCGGTTCGGTTCCGGGAAATACATTCAACCCACTCTCAGTTAGGGGGGGGGAGGGGCGCACACAGCGAGCAAACAGCTCAGCACTTATGCCAAGCCCTGTCCCTCGTACTTTTCTCAGCGTGTGCGGGGTGACAATGCGTGAGATTTTCGTCATTCATTATTATTATTCAAAATGGACGGAAAATTTCTCCCATCTTCTCAGCATTTTTATTACTGAAAATAACCGAACCCAATGAACCGAACCAAAGAGCAAAATCCGAAAACCGAACCGAACCGAAACAAAATGCATCGTTACACCCTTAGAGAGCATGTGTCTGTACCGCGTACTCACTGCGCGCTTGTGTTACAGCTTTGAGTTGCTGAAGACGCACGTCGGCCCGACGCTGCTCTACTCCGCCTCACTGCACCCCGACAAACAGATGTTCGTGTTCGGCGGCGAGAACTTCACGATGTACAAGTACGACTACAACACCGGCGTCGAGATCGGTGAGCGGGGGTCGCGCCGGGGTCGTGATGGGGTCACGCAGAGGTCGTGTTGGGGTCACGCAGGGGTCACCAGGGTCGTGCCGGGGTTAGGGTGTGGGTTAGCGTTAGAGTGTGGGTTAGCGTTAGGGTTAGGATGTGGGTTAGCATTAGAGTGTGGGTTAGGGTTAGGATGTGGGTTAGCATTAGAGTGTGGGTTAGGGTTAGGATGTGGGTTAGCATTAGAGTGTGGGTTAGGTTAAGGGATGTGGGTTACGTGTTATGTGGGTTAGATTGGGTGTTAGTATAGTTAGGAATGTGCTTAAGTTGTGCGGTTGGGCGTTAGACTTATGGGTCATAGGTGCGGGCCGTCGGCTGTTAAGGGTGGGTTAGGGTTAGGGTGTGGGTTAGCGTTGGAGTGTGGGTTAGGGTGTGGGTTAGCATTAGAGTGTGGGTTAGGGTGTGGGTTAGCGTTAGAGTGTGGGTTAGGGTTAGGTGTGTGGGTTAAGCGTCAGAGTGTGGGTTAGGGTGTGGACTAGGTTAGGGTATGGGTTGGATTAGAGTGTGGTGCGTTCAGACGTGTGGGTTAGGGTGTGGGTTAGGCGCTAGGTTCCGGTGCACCGTAGCTGGGGGTTAGTGGTGTGGTTAGAGTAGTGGGTTAGGGCTGTGGCGTTAGCATAGGGTGATGGGTTAGCTTAGAGTGTTGGGTTAGGGTTAGAGTGTGGGTTTAGGAGGTTGGGTTAGTGCTTAGAGTGTGGGTTAGGGTGTGGGTTAGCTATTAGAGTGTGGGGTAGTGGTTAAGAGTGTGGGTTAGCATTAGAGGTGGGTTAGGTTAGGAGTGTGGGTTAGCATTAGAGGTGTGGGTTAGGGTTTAAGAGTGTGGTTAGCATATAGAGATGGGGTTAGGTTAGAGTGTTTTGGGTTAGCTGCTGAGTGTGGGTTAGGTGTGGGTTAGCATTAGAGTGTGGGGTTAGGTGTTAGAGTGTGGTTAGCATATAAGGGTGTGGTTAGCATTAGAGTGTGGTTAGCCGCTAAGAGCTGTGGGTTAGCATTAGGGTGTGGGTTAGAGTGTGGGTTAGCGCTAGAGTGTTGGTTAGGGTTAGGATGTGGGTTAGCGTTATGGGGTTTAGTTGTGGGTTCAAGTTTGGGTTAGGATGTGCGTTAAGTTGTGCGTTGGGGTTAGACTATGGGTCAGGGTTTGGGTGGTTGGGTAGAGGGTGTGGGTTAGCATGTGGATGTAGGTTAGGTTTAAGGTTAAGGTGTGGGTTAGGGTTAGCACGATGATGCTTACAATGAATGCTGTCTCTGCTATTAGATTGTAGTTAGCCTTGACTGTCTTGGTGCTCACACCCACACACCTGCACGTGCACGTGTACACAGTGTGTATTGCGTGCGACGCCCTAACGCAGTGGTTCTTAATCTTTTTTGAGTCATGGAGTCCATTTGGTCCTGGACCCCTTTGAGAATCTGGTGACCCCTCTCCAGAAAAATGCACATAAGCACATAAACACAAAATTTTGCATACAATGTCAGGGGTAGAAATTGACTTTTGAACACGGGAGTCCAACGGACTCCCTACCCTCAAAAAGAGGGAGTCCGCAGCAAAATGAGGGAGTCTGCAGTCTGAGGTTCAAAATTAAAGATATTAACAATAACGCATGTGATTATTTTTAAGATTCATGCGGCTGCACGTCTGCCAAATTTTCTTTGAACATTAGCTTAAAAATATGGTAATTCCGCGAGGCCGTGCTCTGGAATGAACTAGTTAGTATGGCAGAATTTTCAGGGAGTCACACGGATTCCTGCACGTATATTAAATCAGGGAGTCCGACAGTAAATCAGTGAGTATTTGACTCCGGACCCGTTAACTTTGCACCCTGCAATGTGGTTCACGGACCCCCTGAAGCCCATCTATGGAACCCAAAGGGGTCCATGGACCACAGGTTAAGAATCTCTGCCCTAGGCCATAGTAAAAACATTGTTTGTTTGCCCTCACCCGACCGACCCACCAAAAAGGGGCCGACTCAAACATTTTTATTGATCTTTCCCATTCTTTTTTTTTTACAAATTGTATCACTGTACATTATATAAATCTGTAGGTAATACATTATGTACCAAGCAAAACAAACATCTAACATAAAAGGTATCTCCACACAAGCACCCCTGAGCATGTAGACACCATGCTGACTTTGTAAAAAGACCCCCCCTCAAAAAAAAATTTAAGCTTACCACCTACCCAAACTTTTCAGCCTGGGTCGGGTGAGGGCAAACAAAGATTATACAAATATTTACAAGATTTACAAATATTATTACCCTAACCCTAACGCCTAGCATTTTGTCGGCAGAGTCGTCCAAGGGTCACTTCGGTGCCGTGCACTGCGTGCGCTTCTCGCCCGACGGTGAGCTGTATGCGAGTGGCTCCGAGGATGGCACGCTGCGGCTCTGGCAGACGACCGTCGGGAAGACGTACGGCCTCTGGAAGTGCGTCGCGCCGGGAGAGACCGCCGACGCCGCCGCTGCCGCCACCGCCATCGTCAACGGCAACGCCTCGAACGGCGCGGGGCCGCAGGAGATGAAGGTCGAGGCATAGACGGTGTAGTGCGGCGCGTGGCGTCCGGTGTTTGACGTCGGAGTGGCGAACATGTCGTTGTCGTGGCAATGCTGCGTTGTCGTTTGGATGGTAGCAATCTCCGTTGCCGGGAGCAGGAGTGCGCTGCTTCCATCTCCGAGGGTGGCGCGCCGCCGCGTCGTCGTGCTTTTCCGCTCGGTGAAAGCCCAGAGCGTCGACTTGAGTGACGGTGAGCGGACGGGAGAGAGAGGGGGAGGGGGACCTCACGCGTCCATCTAACAAGTCGGCGGAGGAGGCGTCGATTCACGAGGATCGCACCAAAATAGACAGTCGGTTCTCATCGTTCGACGCGGCATCTCCGAGTTTTTAGATGGACGCCGCCGCGGTTTGTCCGCCAATTTCCTCCGCTCTGACCTGCGACTGTGGCGCCACCTGGTGCTAACTGGGACGTGGGTCGGGCGGGAGGGGGCGGGACACATGCGCGGCAGAGTGGGCGAGCGAGGATGAGGATGGAAGCTAGAGGGCGCTGAGGTGCGCACGACTCGTCGGAGCGGATCATGTCGCGTTAGCGTCTCGTCTTTATTTAGAGAAAAAATTATTTATGTAAGCGTCGGAATCGTGGCGGCAGAACACGCTGAGCCGTCCTACGTGTCGCTCGGCAGATACTGGCGCCCTCTACAGTCTTGCATATCATACGCGTGAGATATCGCCCATTGTGAGCTGAGCGCAGCTTCCGGTAACGAGTTATTTTTAATTTGCTGGCTGCAAAATGAGATGCTGTATATAAAGGGATTGAAAAACGAGGCTTGCTTTGTGCTAGATGGCAGCAACAATTCATGTGGTACCTACCCCCCCATGCAGTGTTCGTGTATTCTGTCCTGCTTCCCATAGCCAAGATTCATGAGAGCAGACCTGTAATGAGTGGTCGGTCGGTCGTCGCAGTGCCGATGCCGTGTAATATTTGGGACTGAATCGTTTCACTGCATACATGTATGTTGCTTTGTTATCGCAAAAAAAGCGCAATCACATATAGACATGTTTTCTTGCTTATTCTTTGTGTACTACAGTGCAGGCGAAGTCGTGGTGAGAAATAACTTCTGTAAATCACTTTTAGAAAACGTTCATAAACCAGACTGAGTATTCCCGATTTTAGCATTAAACTTAAAGTGACCTAAGCTGGCGTGGCCACAGTTTGCTGACCGTAAGCATTTGTCTTTTTGGTTTTAACAAGAGCCGCAGAGCGTCTGGGCTCATCTGAGGTCTGTTGCTACGGTTATAAACGTAACATTTAAGTCGTGCGTAGTGACAACTTTGTTAGGCGCAGATATGCAGATACGCAGTTGCGTACACATCATTTCAGCAACCCCCCCGCATTCTGCATACCTCCCAAAGCCCATTGGTTGATAGAAATTGCGTGCCTGAAACTCCTGTTTAATGGTGCATTGTGACCCTAACCCTAACCCTAACCCTTTTTTTTTTAAAGTGCGGTAAAAATTATTTGTAGTTATTAAATTGTTGTAAATAAATCATGTAAATATTTGCGTTAATTGGAAAAAAATTGTTAAATGGATAAAGATAGAAAAATACAGAAAACAGGTAAATAATATAAAATCAGATGGAATTCGATGTAACGACCTTTGAGCCGTGACGCGCGTGCTGTACGTGTTCGGCTATCCAGGCTTATTGGGTTTGTAGATTATGGATGTGCCATGAATATGCGAACGCTGTGACGTCATTGAGGCAGTTCAGGAATCCATGTTTAACCTTCCTCTTGAGGGTCAAAAGGTTATCAGACACTTACTCTTCGCACGTCAGTGGAAAGCACATTTCATGGACCTTTCAATAAAGTGATAAAAATGGTAGGTCAGCGCTGAAACAAAAAAGTTTTTAACTCTGTCCATTAGGCCATGTCCTCAGAAAATGTCTGATATCTGACCTTTTCCCCACTGCCCTTTGACCTGTGATCTCCAATTTCGCACTGGTGATGCGTTTCTTGCCCATCACACGTAATTAATATACACCGAATATTAATTGCATAGGTGGAGCCGTTCAGATTTGTGCCGCGATTCCGTATTTCCTCCTATACCTTAAGTTAAGGGGGAAATATTTCCCCTCCGTTTACACATCTTGACCTTTGACCCTTGACCCCCAAACTTGTCATCCTGAGTCCTTTTCACGATCCCCATCTCCCCCCTCCCTCCCGACGTCCCGAATATCGTGACCGTACGTCGAGCGGTTAAGATTTGTGCCCAACTGTTGACGGACGGACGGACGCACGGACAATCATGCGATTCTGCAAGCTGCATTAGACTTCGTCAGATGAGCTAATAAAACTAATAAACGTCGAATAAATGTAAGTAACCCTAAAATAACTAATAAATTCTAGAGCAAAGTCAATCAGCCGAGATTTATCCTATAGGTGGTTTACTTCTCGAAACCGTAAAAAGTGTTCCCTTGGGCAATATTTGGATCACGAACCTCTCCTGCCCATCTCCAGTAGGAATTTTATGAGGCTACGGCTATCGCCAGGTTAAATATTTACTCGTATAAAGTAGGTCATTCTTACTGGGCTTGGTCTCAGTAGAGCATCTGCGTTGGAGTACAGGTAGAAATAGAGTAATAACTCTTCCACAATAACACTTGAAAATATGGCGATAAGTTTTATTCAATTATCGATATTTGTTACTGCGCAGAATATGTATATGAGTCGCATTATGTATAGTTCACATGCCAATGCTGTAGTAAAATGAGTTTTAGGCACATTCATTAATAAGGGACTTCATGAATAATAAGCCCTTAGGCTATCGGAAAGTCCCCGCCGCCATATTTAGATCAGATAAGAGGTGGTATAAGTTGCCTATATATAACATGGCTAGGATAGGACTAGTCTAGGTTTTTGATCTATAATTCTCTTCACTAACATCGTACTTTAATTCACAGGTGCGTTAATTTCTGTTTACAGAAACATTTACAAATATGATAGTGATAATTTATATTGTCATTGTGGTTAGTGTGTCACATAAGATTGTGGTAATTTGAGATATTTTGCAATGTTTGTGTTAATGCAAAAACTAAAAACGCACGAGTGTTTAAAAATCATGTATTTTCCTACGCGCGCCTCGGCCATTTTATACCCCCTTTTTCTATGACCTATAAATAGCACAGCTGGACTTTCCGATATCACTTATTCCCAAGACACCCATTTCTAACGTATACACTGAGTGGCGCGGGTAAATGTTCTTCACTGTGCTCGGTGCACGCAACACTGCGTGCAATTTGCTAAAGCGAATCTTCGTGACATTTATTTCGAGAAACTCTAGTCTGGACTCGAGCGAAACGAGCGATTTTCGTTGTTAGTTGCGTCCAAGGCAAAACAGATGTAAACAGATGTAAAGGCAACAGATATAAACAGATGTGTTTATATCTATAGGCCTTTGTTGCGCCTAACATAACACAAGACAAATGCGTGTCTGCTATTGGCGGGTTAATTTCATCATCGTCACCGTGACGTCAACGCAGCAGACGACACTTGTCGCATCACGCGTGTCGATCCACCGCAGCAGCACTCTCACTATATTGTTCTCGATAAGTTCGTCCGTAACTAGAGATGGTCAGTGGGTAACATCCGCGCTGGATTCTTTAACAAAAAAGGCGTCTGCAACGACAATGACGTCATCCCTGCACTCGGTCGCGAATATATGCTTATAACTAACTACTATACAAATTTTAGAAAACCGTAATGAGTAATTATGCGTTTCGTTTGCATGGCATATCAGTATGAATATATACATTCGTAGAGTAACTGTTTTATACCGACCGGCTGTGCATGATGGCAGCAGACAATGTATTGCGGGCGTCTTGCTCGTGCTCGAATAGATTTTCCGATGACCGGACCGCACAGGCATATATATATTGCGTATCGTGTACATTATACGCTACATATTTATGGGTACCCTATATTGCGTGCCACAACTTGTAAATTATTGTGTGTGCGCCATCTCCGTAGATAAAACAAAAGCAAAAAAACGCGTAGACTAAAGCTGCGATCTATATGCAAGACCGGATACCAAAGGTATCTACTTTATTATACACGCTGGGGGTCAAATAGCGAACAGTCGGACGCGCAGCTTCACACGATTAACTCTTCGTCGGGTGTTCTATGCTTGGGACTATAGGCCAGGTACTAGGAGCAGGTCATGCTTGCCCGAGGAGCGTGATGCACTAAGCTGCGCGGGTTGAAGCTGTCAGGTGTAGCGATGGATGTTGAACGCAACCACGTGACTGACGCAGACTCCGAATGTCACAGCGGATCGGATTCAATCGAGTGTTTATTTTACGCGACAGTCGATTGTCATCAATATTCATGATTATCATACTTATTATATTTATCAAACATCATCATCGCCGTATTCATCGTCATCATCCTAATCATCATCAACGTCGTCACCGATAATTTCTGTGCGTTGGGCTAAGATTTAATCCGCGTATTTCATCCGCCTGTAACGACAATTCGGGATCGATTTTCTGTAGACGATCGTAAAGTTCCAATGTGGTTGGAACAAAATGCTTAGACTATTCCGTTACAAACAATAACGGTGTACACGCTATATGTTGCACAATTCCTTGCGTTACATATATATATATATATCAGATATATATATATATATATACACACAGGCAGTAGCATTCGTAAGCTGACTGTGTACTCGTGACCTTTGCCCCTCTCAAGAGCTAAGAATGCCAGAGCTAGGTATTATCAAGAGCGGATATTATTAGGATATGGTATTATCCGCTCTTGGTATTATTAGCTCTTGATAATAATCACACGTGATTCTGCATCGACGATAAATTTCCGTCGTAACGAGACCGATTATTTTTAGTCGTAGTTGTAGTATTAGTTGTTTTTCTCTGCTTTTTAGTTCACCGATCGATCTTGCTCCCAAGCGTGAGTATAGGTATGCTGCTTGTGGTGTTCTATGTTGTGGTGAATGGTGACGGTGCGGCGGGGTGCGGCGGGGTGCGGCGCATTCGATCATGCAAGTAGCCTTCACTGGTTCGAACGTTCTAATAATATAACCTTTCAAGATTTTTACATTGCGTTTTAACAAAAAGATTAAGATGAATGTTTTTGGGGGACCTGACGACGTTTCAGGGCAAAAATCACGGATTCACAGATCGGTTATTCTGTCGTTTTAATTTCTAATATATAACAAAGTGTTGAGACAGGGAAAGAGGCTAATGTATGACCAGCTATTCATTGTTATGAAAATGAAGCGGTGTACGAAAGCGAGGCTATACGAGAACGCGAGGCCGTGCACGAATACGACGCCATGCGCGAAAGCGAGGCTGTATACAAAACCTGATCTGCATGCTACACGCGGGTAACCTCAAAGAGAGAGCCGCCTATATCTCCTATTAACATTAACACCAGGACAAATCTGTGCATTATCCTGCTCGTTTAATGTTTCACGTGTAGCCGCGTCTCATATACGAATGCTAATCGACTTCAGAAACCAACCACCCCTCCCCCGCACCCACCCACCCCTCTACGACCTATGCATGACGCGAGTCCTAAGAGCGATTACAAGACAACCGATGCTTACGTTTTCACGACGTGCTAGAATGGCTGAAGATGTGTGAGACTGATTGCAATCTATATCACGGGCGAGTAGGTCGGTCTGAGATTCATACACCCGCCCCTTATTTCAATAGTGCCTTTTTATTTTGGTCGCGCAACGGCGTTAGATACATGGTTTTTCCGCGGATGGTGACTCCGATGTCTGACATGAATTTCAAGGTTCAACCGACAGGAATTACGGGGAGTGACGGCGGCATCGTCAACAGCCGACGTTCGATCCTCATCGTCACGCATGGTAATCCTCTCTCCGTGTTCACTGCAGATCTGTCACTCCTCCAGCCGTTGATCTGTCACTCCGCTATGAAACAAAACGACGACGTTAGTACATAAATATACACAGACAGGCACGCACGCACACATATACATATATATATATATATACAGAGAGAGAGAAAGAGAGAGAGAGAGAGAGAGAGAGAGAGAGAGAGAGCGAGAGAGAGAGAGCCGAGAGAGAGCGCAGCGTAATAGATAGCTACTAGGTTGCGTAGATAGCTAGGATAGGTAGATACGATAGATAAAAGATAGATAGATAGAGTAGCATAGATAGATAGAAATAGCTAGATAGATAGATAGATATGATAGATAGATAGATAGATAGATAGATAGATAGATAGATAGATAGATATAGATAGATATAGATAGATAGGTAGATCGATATATAGATGGATGGATAGATAGATAGATAGATAGACAGATAGATAGATGAGATAGATAGATAGATAGATAGATAGATAGATAGATAGATTAGATATAGATAGATATATAGATAGTATCAGATAGATAGGTAGATGTAGATTACGATAAGATAAATAGAGGATGGATGGGATAGAGTAGAATAGATAGATACTATATATATAGATAGATAAGATAGATAGAAGATAGATAGATAGATAGATCGATAGAATAGATTAGAAGATAGATGATAGATAGATAGATAGATAGACTAGATAGATAAGATAGGAGTAGATAGTATAGATATGATTAGATAGATAGATAGATAGATAGATAGATTAGAATAGATAGTATAATGGATAGATAGAGTAGCACTGAATACCACATACCTAATGGGCTGTTAAGTCTTCGGGCGGAGGGGACACCAGGCTTGCATGTAAGTGTTCTCAGGCTCTCTTCTCCAGGTCGGCGGCGTTCGAATCCTTTTTTTTACGAATTCAGCGGGCAGTCTAGAGCCTGGGCGG